AGCTTCCCGATCGCTGCTATCTGCAATTGTTGTGTTTTTGTTTGCTACTCCTTCCTTTTTGCTAAGAACCTTCCGCTTTCCATCACGTGTCGCGATGGCTCATATTCTTGTATTTCCCATCATCTTTCAGCAATTGCGACATCTTACATCATTTGCATCATGTTCAAGAACTTCCATGACTGCTCATCAATTTCGTATTTTCTAATCGTAATCGTTCTCCATCCTTCTTGTCATGTGTCCATGCTCTTCATGGGTTTCATAGTCTTTGACCTTTTTGAATAGTCTCCATCATAGTTCATCATTTTGTTTTTTGTTTGCCAGGCCGGGGGCGGGGGGGGTGCTCCCCCCACCAACCCCCCACCTTTTTGAAGGCTTTCCATGCTTGCCGGAACAAAGAAGCACCATGACATCACCATGTTTGCAATGAGGGATGGCTATACAGATCATTTCCCCCCCAAACCCCCCGGGTTTTTTAAAGCCATCCACGCGAGCTGTGACAAAGAAGCGTCATGTCATCACCATCTTTGCGGGAAGGGATTATACAGATCATATTATTTGCAACTGTGGGATGGGGGGAGGAGGCTGCCTCCCCCCAACCCCCTGCGTTTTTTCAAGGCCATCCATGGTGTTGACCACTGTTCGTCATTCTAGAGAATTTCATGATGTTTCATCATTGTTGTCACACTTTTTCATCATATGTAGCATGTTTCATAATCTTCCATCATCTTTCAGCAGTATCCATGATTTGCCATAATTCTTCAATAACTTTCATGATTTTCAGCATTTTCCAGAATTTTCCTCACATTTCATGATATTCCACCATTTTCCTCATAAATCATATTGTTTCATCATGTTTCATATTCGTTCATGATTCTAATCATATTTCATCATGTTCATCATTCTGTGTTGTTTTTGATCATCATGTTTCATTGTGTTTCATCATTATTCAGCGAAAAATCGAGCTCTCGCCCGAGACTCTCTAAAAAGAAAAATCTGAAATCAACCTTGCATCCCATTTAAATTCAAATCTGGTGCGTCGAAAGCTTTCAAATCCGACCGGATTGGCCGATGGCCAGGTGCCCAGCAGGGAGCTGTTGCCCCTCTTCTTTGCGCGGAGTTACGGTCAGGATGGCAGCGTGGCAATCCAGCGCCAAGGCACGTCGCAGCCAGCAATGGCTTTCCCCATACCTGGCTTTCATCTATGGAGTTTTTGGTCACGAAGACCATTTACATTGGTAAGAGATGCGTATGCACATGTACATACATACATGCATACTGAAGAAGTGACTGAGGTCTTCCAAGTAGTAATAGACAAAGGCACACCTAAGTGTTCCTAGGCTGCATCCACACAAGTCCTTTATGCCACAAGCAGATCAAGTCTTGAGCCAACATAAGTTGGCATGTC